ATAAGAAGATAATATAAAAAAAAGATAATAAGATAAAATTATAAATTATTTAGTAAATTTAGGGATATATATATATATATATAAATATAAATAACGATATATACTTGATTTTAATTCTATATAATTGAATAAATTGTAAATCAATTTTTCGTAATCTAAATTTTTGATAATACATTAATTGTAAGTCAAATTAAAGTGTTATGTTATGTCAAGCGTAAAGTACGTAGTACTATATATATATAATAAGCGGGGGAAAAATGAAGGCATAATTTGAAAAATCCATCGTCGATTGTCGGTGGTTTTTCAATGAGTGAAAATTACAGGAATATTACGACCTCCCACGTTGATTCTTATTCTACTAGGGTTGATGCTTATAATGGATGCTTCCTTTTTCTCTTCTTTTTCGTAGCTATACACTTCTTTATACGTATCTCTATGGTAACGCGATCCCTTTTGTTTTTGGAATATAATATTTCAAACCTTTTTATTGAATACGAGTGAGAGTCTCTTGTGACTTTGAAATCACGACGCAAATCAAAAATATCTTTGTTCAGTTTAATTTAATTTTTCTATTCTCCCCACGCATATTTGACATATTATAAATCTTTTTGTTATAATTTTTCTTTTTGGGTAAAAAAAAAAGAGAGAAGGAAGTGATTTTACAAAATTTAACACGAACGAATTTGAAGGATTGATTAATCGAAAAATAAAAAAGAAAGTAGAATTATGGGACGATGAAAAAAACAAAGTCATTTAATACACACACATACATATACATATAAATATATATATATGCATTGATATCGATCAAGTTGATGGGATTTGGATTTTGTTAGATGATTTTTATCAATGCTTACCTTTCAGGGGGTAAACAAAGACGAGCGTAATTCTCGGCAGCTATCGTGGTCAAAGTTAATACGGTGACCAGAAAGCAAATCGATTGGACAGTCCATTCAACACGGCAGATTGTTAAAGATTCTTCGTGTCCTGCCAAGATCACTATTACAGATGCCGGTATTACAAAACCAGTCACCAATAAGTCCGCTAAAGCAACGTTCACTAAAAACGCGTTTCCTGAAATATGCAATTAACAATAAAAAATCACTTGCTTTGCATTACACACATTGATTACTAAATTAAAAACTAATAATTATTTGTATAAAGAAAAAAACGAATCCTTCGAAATTATTACCAGAGGAGTAGGTAGGTGGGTGGGCGGTTGGTTGGCTTAGTTATTTTCAATATATTACAAGTATTTCAAAATGTCAAACAATTTTAGGACAATCATTTTAAAATCTAATTCGTGGGCAACGATTATAATTAATTACGATTAAATTTGTTACAGTCGGAGAGACCCTTTTGACGAATGTGATACGTTATTCACATTTATTTTTCCTCGATCAATGAGATATCGATTTTTTCTTTTTCTGTTTCTCAAACGGTTCGAGTTTTTAATTGATTTTATTAATTCCGTTATTAATATTCTAAAATTCTACAAAAAAAGATTTAATTTATCTTCTAATTATCTTAATCCTGTTATTAATTTATTTTCAATCAATCATATACTCGATCAATAATAATAATATATATATATCGATTCTTTTTTTTTCTTCTTCTTAAACGATTATTGTTTTTCATTTTCTATCCTCTATTCCCGTTAATAATAATAAGCGTGTGTGTTAGTAGAATAATGCCTATGATAATATAACTCCTACGGTGTACTATCGGCTTTGAAGTAGAAACGAATTTCACATTCCTTTAACGAGATCATCCACGTGGAAGATACAACGAAGTGTAAAACGATCGTATTTCCTTTATCCTGCGCAGATAGATAATCAGTTGTGGTGGTGGTAGTGGTGGTGGTATTACGTACGTACGGAGTTTCCTAGATTCTTTGTAGGTTTAATAAGTTTGATAATTGAGTGGAATCGTTTGATAGAGAACGCCGACTTGCGAAGGTATAAACGAAAGGAATTAACGAAGGATATTAAGGGTAGAGGTAGTGGGGGTGGTAAAAACGTGGTTTAATTTTTAAAGGAGAAAGAAAAAAAAATATATATATAACAAAGGAATATATAACGAGGAAATTCTTCTCGTTTACTTTAAAAGCACAAATTGGAACGTGTTTAGTTATCTCTCTCTCTCTTTCTCTTATAAGCAAATTTGCCATCTCGTTCTTTACTACCCAAAGGGGCAATAAATTCTGCTTCGAACGATCGCGTTAAAGGGAAAACGGAGGGGGGAGGAAAGAAAACTACTCGACGTTCTTTGTTTTTTTTTTTTTTTTTTTACTATATCTTCGTCGGGATAAAGAAACGCGATACAGGAAGTAATTATTAAAAACGTTATTTTTTCCTCTTGTTACACACCGGATAAATTATAATATATTAATTTTATTTAAATACGAGATAATTATAACGCGATTATGTGAACTTTTACTGAATTTGTATAATGGAAATTATTGAATTATTCGGATAAAACATTGTGTATGGCTGATAAACTTGAAAAAAACGGGGTTGTTCCTTGTTCGATTGTTAAGTGTATTAGAAAATATAAAAAAATAAAAAATACACACACACACACACAACGCGTGATTTCGAATTACGTTTTACTTTAATCGAATCCTCGAGGCAAATTCAAGATGTTAACCTGGTTTTGAGATGAAAACAAGGTCTATTTATGAGTTCCCATTAAAATGTTCGTTTCGAAACCTCTTCAATTACCTTTTCTTCCTTCGATTATCGATATTTATGTCGAGAAGGGGGATCAGTTCCTTCGATGCGTTTTTTTTATACGTGTTGTATGTTAAATTAAAAATAAAATAAATAATGTTTTTAAATAAAAAAAAGGGGCGCGGGAGGTCAGTTTTATATTTACGTATGAAAAATATACACAATTTTTTCTCGAAGATTTGCTTATTTTTCGATCGATTGATTTATTATCGTAGCATGCAATTTATCAATCCTATTTTAGTTTAATATTTTGACGAAAAAACAAATAAATATATTAATTACAAATAATATATGCAAATGAATGTGCGTAATACTTTGAGAATGTATTCCAAGACCTAGTTTTTTTTCTTTTATTTTTTGGGGAGAGGGTCAGACTTATTATTATTATTATTAATAATATTATTTTGTAAAAAAGAAAGGGAGGAAAATATTTACCTCGTTTTTTCAATTGTTCTTCGACAACAATTGCCGATATCATGAAAACGTTCCCGACACTTCCACCAACCGCAAGAGAAGCCAATAAAAGAAGCCTAGCAACTCTGGACCATGCTGGTGATAAAGTGACTGGTGAGACACCAAGATCATCATCCATGATACCACCACTAGTTTTATCCATTCTTACAGGATTCTCGAGGCCTACCAACTCGGCAAGAGTACTCGCAACACCGTGGGCTGCCGTTGTTACGTTCATTCTGAAACTAATTGAATGTTAAGTAACATTAGCCTTTCTTATTAACAAAAAAGAAATAAAAGAAAAAACAACAAGGCTACCGAGAAAAGCAAATTTTACTTTAATTTCATCAAAATCTTATAGATCAAATTGTTAATCGTATTAATAATTTTTATATTTTTAAACATTATAATATTACGTTGGTAAAATATACTTGATGTAAATTCACGAATTCGTTTAAAATTATAAAACGAAAAAAAATACGTTCGAATGTGTGTTTAATAATGTTCAGTTTTTAAACCGTCAAACCGTTTGAAATCAAATAGATCCTATATTGTGTTAAATTATAAATATATATATAAATGATTTAATTCGATATTGTGGATAATTATTTTTCTAGTTATTTGAGTTTGTTGTTGTTTATACGTAACAATTTTAGAAAATGTCATAATTCGTGGAGAAATTGTCAAGAAAAGGGGAACGAAGTGATCTGCGATATTATGAGATTATTAAACGCTTGGACTATTAAGCTTATGAAGATTACGAGTGACAAGGACGTAGTCGATGAGTCTGTTATTGATCGAAACCACTCGTTCGCGAGGCGTTCATATACTCGACTCCGTAATTCATATGAGATCGCGAAAAAGTTTTAGCAAAAATATCAACGATGAGATAATTCGAAGAAAAAAAAAAGCAAAGGAAAAGAAATATTCCTTAATATTGTTAGATAAGAAAAGAAGGAACGTAAATTAGTTGTACTTAATTTAAATATAAAAATAAATAAAATATGTTTTAAAGAACGAATTAATATTATAATATATTAATTAATATTGTAATTAAAATTAAATGTTAAATATACGTAATATATGTTTAAATTTATTCATTATATATTTAATTTATTGAATTATATACTTAATTTTTGAAATTAATTTAAAATTAATCTCAAATTAACAAATAAAAAATAAAAGAATCAATTATATAATATTAATCTTAATGAGAGATATAATTGAAATGCATTCAAATATATATAATAATTAGATATTTTATTATATTATATAAAAATTAGAAGTGAATTTTTGATCGAAATGTGTTCTATGTCAGGCTTGTACTTTTTTTTCTTCTATTTTGTTTGAGAAACGAGTGGAAACCATTCGTTTGGAAAAGAATACTCTTTTCCTCTTCTTTTTTTTTTTTTTTTTTTATATAATTGAATAGAAAACAACGAAACGTTTTTCGAATTCTTATCTTTTTTTTTTTTTTGGATTCGATATAAAAATCTATTATATTGTATTACATTACATCCAATCGTTTAAGGATATACGATAAAATACAAGAATGTGTGGTTGCATTTTTATATCTCAATGATATCATATTTCGTGGGATCGATGGTTGGGTAGGACAACCATAAGTGTGCGGCTGGCCGTGTGTCTTTTCTGCGATATCGTTATCCTTTTTTTTTTCTTTTCTTTTCTTTTCACACGAATATCTGAAAATATCATATGGTTATGCACTTTGCAACGGAAGCTACATCAATGTCATCTTTACTTCCCGATGTAATTTTTTTTTTCCCCCTCGAAGAACAAACAAACCCACTTACATTTTATAACCTTGGCAAAATAGAAAATGTTAAGTTTTATTTTTACAATATATTATACATATACGTATACACTTACGCACACGCGCACGCGTATTTAGATCGATTAAAAATTGTCTCATTCAATAAATATCAATATTTAATATAACGAATTTAAATTGTATATATAATAATATATAAATATTATATTTTAATATAATATTATAATACATATATTATTAATAATATATTAAATATAACGTTACTATATTTAAGAATGAACAAAAAGTTCATTAATTTATGTTTGTCGTCTCATCGTAGGGTAATTTTTTTCAAGTCGAAAAAATATTACTTCACACGCAAGTTAAATATTTCTTTTCAAATAACTCACGTCCTTTTCGTTTTCATCCTAATAATATCATAAATAATAAATTTGATTTGTGTAAAATCGTACCATATATTTTCTCATAAGTCATATCATATATTTTCAAATTAAAAACGATAAGAATATAAGAGGTATCAAAATGATAATGAAATGAAAGATCGATTGAGGAGGTGTTAAAAAATGGGGGGGGGGGTTGTTAAGAATGGACAAGATGGTAGGTTAAGAAAATGGGACATTCACGTTTGGTATAAAGGTGGCAAGAAATATTTCGAAGGGTACCGGGTGTCGGATAATTCGATTTCATGAAACATCACGTGGAAGATTTTACGAGAACTGGTTATAGAAAAAGGA